ACGTATTTACAGACAGAGATAGATAGATAGATAGATAGATAGATAGATAGATAGATAGATAGATAGATAGATAGATAGATAGATAGATAGATAGATAGATAGATAGATAGATAGATGTTTGTTTGCAGATATTAATGGGACGTGAAGAATGGGGAAACATTTGATCTGATGACACAGACCTTTTCTGTCACCTTACCTACTGTTATTGAAAGACTGTTCAGAGGGCTCCTCTTAGCCTATTCCGCTCATGGTGAAGGTAGTTTAAATGGAACGTGATTTAGTTAACATCCTTTTTCACCATGTCCTCATAGGATTGGACTATTTTCTCTCTGTTTCATTAGAAAGCATGTGGTTGACTTGTTTCCTTTGATGTTTAATGGTCCGTTCACGTTGCCTGGCTACCCAAACTCCTTGCTCAGGCCAAACGCTACGCCACACCCTCGGACGTTTGTTTATTCTTCACAATGAGTCTGGCTCTGAGTACCTCCCAGACGATTTCTAGAATGGAAATCCATTCTAGACTGAGTGATTGGTCCCAGAAACTGATGGGTTGGTCCAGAGCTAGAACGCACATGGGTAAAGCGGCGTTTTGAAAACTCCTCATTGGCTTTGATACTCTGATTGGTTAGAGATGATCCAATTGCTGATGACTTTGTTTTGTACAACACCCCTCATTTTGACGTCACCACAAACAACCTCAATGTTGTCAGTCTCAGACTGAAGTATGTAGCGAATGATGGAGCAGCGGAAGAATTCAGTTACAGTTTTTTCCAACTGCTTACACACAAAATCTTTTCATGTCACACGATTTTTGAAACCTCTCACTCAAAGTGCAAAACTACACACCAAATCTCCAAAACCATAAGCTATTTCTCAGCCTTTGACTCAGTTGTCAATTGCATAAAACACTTTTTTCAAAACACTACACACAATTCTCTACCTAAAACACAAAAATCTAACAGGAAGTGACTTGCTTTCCTTTTCCAAACACAACCAATCAAAATGCTACACTTATTCACCAGGTCAAACACACTCTCCTCGAATGTTCAAACACTAATTGCTTTACTGATCACTAACCAATCACTGCTTTACTGTAGTATAGGACTGTTTTGAACAATGGATGCCAACAATGGACAGAGAGCAAGAGGAGTAAGAGGGAGAGGCAGGGGACAACAACGAGGACAAATTCAAAGATGAAGAGTTGGAGGAGGAGGAGGAGGAGGAAGAGGAAGAGGACGAGGGCAAAGAAGAGAAGGAAGGAGAGCCATCTCTGATGAGATTAGGGCAACACTTGTTGATCATGTGATCAACCACGGTTTGACCATGAGAGAGGCTGGACTGAGAGTCCAGCCCAACTTGAGTCGATTTACAGTGGCGTCCATAATTTGAACCTTCAGAAATGAGAACAGGTATGCAACTATCTAATGACTATTTTAGCATTAGAGTAATGTACTGTAAAATACGTATGACTGCATAGTATTGCATAAACATTTGTAACTCTAAGCCATCCATTTACTGCACTGCATTGAATGAATGAGGTTGGTTATCATGCTGTACTACATTTTTGTGTACATTGTTTACAGTTCCTATGCTGAACACATACTGTGTTTGAATTTTGTACAGAGTGGAAAGGCAAAGACATCATGGAGGACGAGGAAGCTTGTTTACAGATGTACAGGAGACTGCAATTATAAATATGGTTTTGGCCAACAATGCAATTAGGATTTGAGAGATAAGAGAACATATCTTGAATAATGACACCATATTTACAGTTTTTTCCGACCGCTTACACACAAAATCTTTTCATGTCACACGATTTTTGAAACCTCTCACTCAAAGTGCAAAACTACACACCAAATCTCCAAAACCATAAGCTATTTCTCAGCCTTTGACTCAGTTGTCAATTGCATAAAACACTTTTTTCAAAACACTACACACAATTCTCTACCTAAAACACAAAAATCTAACAGGAAGTGACTTGCTTTACTTTTCCAAACACAACCATTCAAAATGCTACACTTATTCACCAGGTCACACACACACTCTTCACATGTGCAAACACTAATTGCTTAACTGATCACTAACCAATCACTGCTTTACTGTAGTATAGGCCTATAAATAGGTAAAAGGTCAGATTACCTGTTTTGAACAATGGATGCCAACAATGGACAGAGAGCAAGAGGAGTAGGAGGGAGAGGCAGGGGACAACAACGAGGACAAATTCAAAGACGAAGTGTTGGAAGAGGAGGAGGAGGAGGAAGAGGAAAATGAAGAGGAAGAGGAAGAGGAAGAAGAGGACGAGGGCAAAGAAGAGAAGGAAGGAGATTTATTTATGTGGATGAGGTTGGCTTCAACCTCACCAAAACCAGGCGCCGCTGAAGAAATGTAAAAGGACAGAGGGCAATTACCAATGTCCCTGGACAGCGTGGGGGGTAATATAACTATGTGTGCTGCCATCACTCAAAACGGGGTCCTCCATCACAATGCCACACTGGGTCCGTACAAGACCGGCCATAGGCTCACTTTTCTGGATGCAATTTACACAATGCTTGTCCCTGATCCAGATCAGGAGCCTGCTGGATTTGTGGTTATATGGGACAATGTTAGTTTTCACCGGGCTGTTCTGGTCCAAAACTGGTTTGCCACCCATCCACAATTTGTAGTTTTGTACCTACCCTCATATTCACCTTTTCTAAATCCCATAGAGGAATTGTTCTCAGCCTGGCGCTGGAAAGTGTATGATTGCCAACCCTATGCCCGCATGCCGCTTCTCCAGGCAATGGAGGACGCATGTGGGGACATAGAGGTTGCCTCTGTCCAAGGTTGGATACGCCATGCTAGGAGATACTTCCCTCGATGTTTGGCAAGAGAAAACGTATCTTGTGATGTGGACAAAGTATTGTGGCCAGACCCAGCCCGGAGAAGAGATGAAGCGTAGCTTAGCACTGGTGACTGCCCACCCCCCTACCAATTCCTGGACTGCCCCCCGGGACCCCACACACACAATTGTGTTCTTTACTGTATTCTAAAGAATATACTTTTGGTTTACATATGTTTATGGTTTTGTTGTGTGCTACTGTATACAACAGTAATGTTTGGCCTAATAAATATTTTCTGTTTCTACATTGCATTGGTGTTTACAGTGTACTTGTTACCCCTCTCAGCAGATTACTTTCACTGTAGAACATTGTATTGAAATGTAGATATAAGCCTATGAAAGACCAAAGAGCTTTAGATTTAGAACAACAGTGTTTACATGGTATATCCAAAAATGTACTATTATGAAAGAAGTGTTTGCCATTTGATGCAAATGCTTCATTCTGACATGTGTTTACGGCATTTTGAATGCAGTGTTACATTTTGAAGGAGATGTGAGGCATTTTGCATTTTGTGTGTGCAGTTTTGGGAATTGTGTGTAGAGTTTTGAAAAAAGGAGACATAGTTTTGAAAACGTGTGTAAGCAGTTGGAAAAAACTGTAATGTCGTCAAGCAACAACCGTTCACTGGACAAATGAGACGACTGATGCTTTTAGCCTGGCTTTGCTTCTCCTCCCCAGCCCAATGCATAACATCTGCCTGCCATTCCTCCCCAGCCCAATGCATTACTTCTGCCTGCCATTCCTCCCCAGCCCAATGCATTACATCTGCCTGCCATTCCTCCCCAGCCCAATGCATAACATCTGCCTGCCATTCCTCCCCAGCCCAATGCATAACATCTGCCTGCCATTCCTCCTCAGCCCAATGCATTACATCTGCCTGCCATTCCTCCCCAGCCCAATGCATAACATCTGCCTGCCATTCCTCCTCAGCCCAATGCATAACATCTGCCTGCCATTCCTCCCCAGCCCAATGCATTACATCTGCCTGCCATTCCTCCCCTGCCCAATGCATAACTCACAAGGTTGTCTGGCAGTATCGAGAGGAAGGTTGTTCCACAGCTACTTGAAGAAGCAAATATTTAAGTACAAATGCCTTCCATGACAAAAGACAACAGATCTTTAAAATTATGTCAAATAAAGGAATGACTTGAGGGAGGCGATGGAGTAGTCCTCTAGACTGCAGTTGTAGTCCTCCCTAAACCTGATTTACTGACTGCTGCGGAATCCTTCCATTAACCCAGTGTGTTGGAGTGTGTGTGTGTGTTTGATAGTGTGTGGATGCGTGTGTGTGTGTTGGAGTGTGTGTGTGTGTGTGTGTGTTTGGAGTGTGTATTGGATTGTGTGTGTGTGTTGGAGTGTGTGTTGGAGTGTTTGTGTGTGTGTTGGAGTGTGTGTTGGATTGTGTGTGTGTTGGAGTGTGTGTTGGAGTGTTTGTGTGTGTGTTGGAGTGTGTGTTGGATTGTGTGTGTGTTGGAGTGTGTGTTGGAGTGTTTGTGTGTGTGTTGGAGTGTGTGTTGGATTGTGTGTGTGTTGGAGTGTGTGTTGGAGTGTTTGTGTGTGTGCTTTGTGCGTGCCTGTATGCATGTGTGTGTATGTTTGTGTTTAATAACTAAAGCTCTTATCTCTCCCAGAGCTGGCTTCTAGAGAGGTCATTTTCCCACACACTCTAAGCTGAGATCTGTCTGGTCTGGACAGCATCCCACCGTGGTAGAGGCTCTTCTACAAAGTTTTCTGGTTCTTGGTTCTCAGAGAGAAGTGATGTTAAGAAACACCACTTATCTGGGATGATACAGCAACAGCATTAGTGTTACAAACAGACTGGTTACTGTCTCTGTCTTTTACACTATGTATCTGCTGTGTGATGTGATTTCTGTCTCACTGTTCTGTAGTGTGTAATGTTTAATAAAGGCTCACCTTGAAAAATATCATCTGGAAATGGTTGTTTCTTGCCCATATTTTGAAGTACATTTTGCATTTATTTTGTTGTCTTGGACCAAATCTGCACACCAAAAGTTTCATGATATTCGCGTTGTCATTCATGTCTCGTTGTCCTTCTGTCTCGTTGTCCTGCAGTGGAGCCGTTTGTCTGTACGGCTCAGGCCATAGCTGACATAGTGATCCATGTTCTCCTGTCTTACCCTCTTTCCAGTGGATCCTTTTGTCTGCACGACTCAGGCCATAGCTGACATAGTGATCCATGTTCTCCTGTCTTACCCTCTTTCCAGTGGATCCTTTTGTCTGCACGACTCAGGCCATAGCTGACATAGTGATCCATGTTCTCCTGTCTTACCCTCTTTCCAGTGGATCCTTTTGTCTGCACGACTCAGGCCATAGCTGACATAGTGATCCATGTTCTCCTGTCTTACCCTCTTTCCAGTGGATCCTTTTGTCTGCACGACTCAGGCCATAGCTGACATAGTGATCCATGTTCTCCTGTCTTACCCTCTTTCCAGTGGATCCTTTTGTCTGCACGACTCAGGCCATAGCTGACATAGTGATCCTGGTGGATGGATCCTGGAGCATCGGCAGGATCAACTTCCGCTTGGTCCGCATGTTCCTGGAGAACCTGGTCAACGCTTTCAGCGTCGGGATGGACCAGACCAGGATAGGTAAGCAGTAGCATCACTGTCTGTTATTAACCAGGATAGGTAAGCAGTAGCATCACTGTCTGTTATTAACCTTACTGTACTGTACTGTCACAGGGTTCAATAGCCTGGTCAAATGCAGGTATGAAGTATATTCCCTCATGTAAGCCTTATCCTAAAATTAAACATACAGTTGAAGTCGGAAGTTTACATACACCTTAGCCAAATACATTTAAACTCAGTTTTTCACAATTCCTGACATTTAATCCTAGTAAAAATTCCCTGTCTTAGGTCAGTTAGGATCACCACTTTATTTTAAGAATGTGAAATGTCAGTATAATAGTAGAGAGAATGATTTATTTCAGCTTTTATTTATTTCATCACATTCCCAGTGGGTCAGAAGTTTACATACACTCAATTAGTATTTGGTAGCATTCCCTTTAAATTGTTTAACTTGGGTCAAACGTTTCGGGTAGCCTTCCACAAGCTTCCCACAATAAGTTGGGGGAATTTTGGCCCATTCCTCCTGACAGAGCTGGTGTAACTGTTTTTTTTTTTTTTTTTTTTTTTTTGTCATTTAGCAGACGCTCTTATCCAGAGCGACTTACAGGAGCAATTAGGGTTAAGTGCCTTGCTCAAGGGCACATCGACAGATTTTTCACCTAGTCGGCTCGGGGATTAGAACCAGGGACCTTTCGGTTACTGGCACAACGCTCTTAACCACTAAGCTACCTGCCGCCCTAACTGAATCAGGTTTGTAGTCCTCCTTGCTCACACACGCCTTTTCATTTCTGCCCACACATTTTCTATAGGATTGAGGTCAGGGCTTTTTCCTGGCCACTCCAATACCTTGACTTTGTTGTCCTTAAGCCATTTTGCCACAACATTGGAAGTATGCTTGGGGTCATTATCCATTTGGAAGACCCATTTGCAACCATGCTTTAACTTCCTGACTGATGTCTTGAGATGTTGCTTCAATATATTCATATAATTTTCCTTCCTCATGATGCCATCTATTTTGTGAAGTGCACCAGTCCCTCCTGCAGCAAAGCACCCCCACAGCATGATGCTGCCACCCCTGTGCTTCACGGTTGGGATGGTGTTCTTCGGCTTGCAATCTTCCCCTTCTTCCTCCAAACATAACAATGGTCATTATGGCCAAACAGTTCTATTTTTGTTTCATCAGACCAAGAGGACATTTCTCCAAAAAGTACGATCTTTGTCCCCATGTGCAATTGCAAACCGTAGTCTGGCTTTTTTATGGCGGTTTTGTAGCAGTGGCTTCTTCCTTGCTGAGCGGCCTTTCAGGTTATGTCGATTTAGGACTTGTTTTACTGTGGATATAGATACTTTTGTACCCGTTTCCTCCAGCATCTTCACAAGGTCCTTTGCTGTTGTTCTGGGATTTATTTGCACCAAAGTACGTTCATCTCTAGGAGACAGAACGCGTCTCCTTCCTGAGCGGTATGACGGCTGCGTGGTCCCATGGTGTTTATACTTGCATACTATTGTTTGTACAGATGAACATGGTACCTTCAGGTGTTTGGAAATTGCTCCCAAGGATGAACCAGACTTGTGGAGGTCTAAACATTTTTTTCTGAGGTCTTGGCTGATTTCTTTTGATTTTCCCATGATGTCAAGCAAAGAGGCAGTCAGTTTGAAGGTAGGCCTTGAAATACATCCACAGGTACATCTCCAATTGACTCAAATGATGTCAATTAGCCTATCAGAAGCTTCTAAAGCCATGACATCATTTTCTGGAATTTTCCAAGCTGTTTAAAGGCACAGTCAACTTGGTGTATGTAAACTTCTGACCCACTGGAATTGTGATACAGTGAATTATAAGTGAAATAATCTGTCTGTAAACAATTGTTGTAAAAATTACAAAACTTGCATCATGCACAAAGTAGATGTCCTAACCGACTTGCCAAAACTATAGTTTGTTAACAAGAAATTTGTGGAGTGGTTGAAAAATGACGTTTAATGACTCCAACCTAAAGTGTATGTAAACTTCCGACTTCAACCGTATGTTATTCTAGTCTATTCCACTGTGTTCCCTCCCAGGTCTGGCCCAGTACAGTGGGGACCCCAGGATAGAGTGGCATCTGAATGCCTTCAGCACTAAAGATGCAGTTCTCGATGCTGTGAAGAACCTGCCCTACAAGGGAGGCAACACACTGACAGGTACGCTACACCAGCAGGTCCCTCCGACTTCATCCCTAATGACAGCTATGGAAAGGTCACAATACATTTAGCCCAGAGGGGGATGTTAAGCAATGCTTAATACAACATCTACACAGATGTACTGAAATCTGTTTATAGGGGGATGTTAAGCAATGCTTAATACAAAATCTACACAGATGTACTGAAATCTGTTTATAGGGGGATGTTAAGCAATGCTTAGTACAAAATATACACAGATGTACTGAAATCTGTTTATAGGGGGATGTTAAGCAATGCTTAGTACAAAATATACACAGATGTACTGAAATCTGTTTATAGGGGGATGTTAAGCAATGCTTAATACAAAATCTACACAGATGTACTGAAGTCTGTTTATAGATTTTTGCGTGAATGTAAAGTGGTTCGTTAAGGGTAACAAGAGTCAGTGAGGAAAAGCTATGTGACTTTTTGAAGTATCAACCAGTGGAGCCATCATCAGTGACCTGTGTGTATCTGTGTAACTGTGTATCTGTTTAACTGTGTATCTGTCTATTTGTGTATCTGTGAATCTGTGAATCTGTGAATCTGTGTATCTGTGTAGCTTTGAATCTGTGTATCTGTGTAGCTGTGAATCTGTGTATCTGTGTAGCTGTGAATCTGTGTATCTGTGTAACTTAACTGTTTAACTCTTTGTATATCTGTGTGTATCTGGGTACACTGAGTGTGCAAAACATTAGGAACACCTTCCTAATATTGAGTTGCATCCCCTTTTTGCCCTCAGAACAGCCTCAATTCGTCGGGGCATGGACTCTACAAGGTGTCGAAGCGTTCCACAGGGATGCTGGCCCATGTTTACTCCAATGCTTCCCACAGTTGTGTTCAAGTTGGCTGGATGTCCTTTGGGTGGTGGACCAATCTTGATACACACAGGAAACTGTTGCTTGTGAAAAACCCAGCAGCGTTGCAGTTCTTGACATACTCAAACCGGTGTGCCTGGAACCTACTACCATACCCTGTTCAAAGGCACTTAAATATTTTGTCTTGCCCATTCACCCTCTGAATGGCACACATACACAATCCATGTCTCAGTTGTCTCAATGCTTAGAAATCCTTCTTTAACCTGTCGCCTCCCCTTCATCGACACTGACTTGAAGTGGATTTAACAAGTGACATCAGTAAGGGATCGTAACGTTCACCAGGATTCACCTGGTCAGTCTATGTCATGGAAACTCAGTGTATCTGTGTATGTCCGTAGGCCTGGCCCTGACCTATATCCTGGAGAACAGCTTCAAGCCCGAGTCGGGCTCCAGGAGCGGCGTACCCAAAGTTGGTATCCTGATCACAGACGGGAAGTCCCAGGATGATGTGATCCCCCCCGCCCAGAGCCTGAGGGACGCTGGCGTCGAACTCTTCGCCGTCGGTAGGACGCAGGGCCTTGTTGTCCTTACTGTAGTATGAACACGTGATGGCGTCTTTAGGTGAACTACAGTGCATTCGGAAAGTATTTAGACCCCTTGGCTTTTTCTGCATTTTGTTACGTTACAGCCTTATTCTCAAATTGATTAATTCGGTTTTTTTCCCCCCTCATCAATCTACACACAATACCGCATAATGACACAATCAATTGAATTTACCACAGGTGGACTCCAATCAAGTTGTAGAAACATCTCAAGGATGATCAATGGAAACAGGATGCACCTGAGCTCAATTTCTAGTCTCATAGCAACGGGTCTGAATACTTATGTAAATAAGGTTTATTTTTATATTTTTATATACATTTGCAATAATGTATAACAACCTGTTTTCGCTTTGTCATTATGGGGTATTGTGTGTAGATTGCTGAGAATTTTTATTTATTTAATCCATTTTAGAATAAGGCTGTAACGCAACAAAATGTGGAAAGTGTCAAGGGGTCTGAATACTGCGAGACTTGATGCTGTCGGTAGGACACATTTAGTGTGCCATGTATGTTGTTTTAGAGGCAAAGGCTGACAATGTGACACATTTTGATATACTTCTGCCCTTTGTGTTATGTTAAGGGAAACAAAAGGAAATGGATAGATCTTGATCTTAATCCTAATCTTGATCTTAATCTTAATTTAAATCTTAATCCTGATCTTAATCTTAATCTTGATTTTAGTGCTCTCTCTCCCTGCGTGCAGGTGTGAAGAACGCTGATGAGAATGAGCTGAGGGCCATAGCTTCTGAGCCTGACCACACTCATGTGTACAACGTGGCAGACTTCAGCATCATGAGCTCCATAATAGAGGGACTTACCAAGATAGTATGTGAACGGGTAGAGGAGCAGGACAAGGAGATCAAAGGTGAACAAATCAAATCAGAGAGCAAAGCTGTTGACACGTCAGTCATCACACTACTGTCTACCTCCACAGTACTGTCTCATGCACTTAGACATAGTGCACAGTCTTTAATATTGAGCAGGCCTCAGGTAGTCGCTAGAAATCTGAGCTGAAATAACTCCTGTCTGTTTAATACACTTCATACTTAATCAGCATGCATTTGAATCATCATAATGCTGTCCATGTGTAGTGCACGCTGAATAAACAGGTTCCAAAAGGGATCTTCGGCTGTCCCCATAGGAATACCCTTTTGGGTCCCATGTACAACCCTCTATGGAATGAGTTCTACATGGAACCCAAAAGGGTTCTACCTGGAGCCAAAAGGGTTCTAGCTGGAACCAAAAAGAGTTATTCACAGAGTTATCCTATGGGGACAGCCGAAGAACCCTAGATAGCACAAACCTTCCAGACCATACATTCTCTAACCGTCCGTTATAATGTATCTCCAGGAGAGACGGCAGATAAGGAGACACAGGTAGCTCCGAGTGACATCAACGTGTCCTTACAGTACAGTATACTGAACAGTCGTTCACCTTATATGATGCTATCCTGGACTATCTGAATGTCTGTTTCTCCAGGAGAGTCTGCAGAACAGGAGACACGGGGAGCTCCTCAGGACCTAGTGATATCAGAGGTGACAGCCAGGAGTTTCAGGGTGTCCTGGAGTCACGCCCCCGGCAGTGTAGAGAAGTACCGTGTGGTGTATTACCCAGCTACCCAGGGAGGACGGCCTGAAGAGGTATACACTCACACACCATCTTGCTCTCCCACCCAATAGTCGCGTATCCGTTTTTTTTTTTAATGTCCATCTGCTGCAGTTGAAACCAGGGGTCGGGAACCTAAATAATTTTCCAATCGTTTTGTTCTGAATAGAATCACAAATTATTTTCGTTCCGTTCCACTGTTCCGACTAGCAAAATAAAGTTCTGAACCGGTTCGAACCAAAAAACAACAGTACCAGTTTATATCATTCCTTTTGGTTCCTTTTTTAACGTGTGAAATCAACAGCTTTTTACATTTAGCTCATTAAATGACTTGACCAATCAGTGCGGAGAGAGCAGGCAAGCTAGTTGCGCAAGATGCGACGGAAATGTTGCGGGTGGGGAGAGATCAAGAGAGGGTTGAGGAGGAGGCTTGAAGCGCTGGGCATCTTGTTATGACATGCATTATCTGAATTAGGTCCACAGAATTACACCCAGGAGGAGCGGCTTCTATGGAGAAACTTTTGAACGTCCTTTGAGCTAGCTAGCTAACAAAAGCTTGTGTGTGCAGAGCGGCACCAGAATCAAAAACACGTCTTGTCGTTTTGTAGTTAATAAATCCAACGTGAAATGTGATAACTAGGCCTATAGTATCCTTAACTAGCATTGAAAAAGTGAATCCATTCTTTACTAGCTAATTAAAAAGCTTTCTCCCTATCTTCTGAATCAAGCGTCAATGTAACGTCAGTACAGTAGCCTATACGTCTGAGGGGGGAGTGGGCAGGTAGCCTAAACACGCACAGATAAAGATGTTCAGCTTGCAGGCAGACACTGGAATACGTTTCTGAGTGACAGAGTGAGGGCTTTGCATAGGCGCTTTGTTGCATTCTTTTGTTGGGACTAGACAAAAATGCCTGGAACGTTAAATAACGTTATTAACCGGTTCCCATGCTTTTAAAAATAACGGTTCTGTTCTGGAACAGTATGGATCACTTTCGTTCCTGGTTCCGTTTCTGTTTGAAAAATGTCGTTCTTTTCCAGTTTTTCTGTTCTGTTCCCTGAACCGGTTCCAACCCTGGTTAAAACACACCCACTGTAAATTCAGTGAGACACAAGACAATAAATGACTGAATGCACACCTGATACTGCAGTGAAATGTCAGTCATTCCCCTTGCCCTGTCTTCTGTCCTCCTCCGTCCCTCCCCTGAATTCATCCAGTACTCCAGTCATAGTTGAAACACTCACTGGGAAAAACAACGGAGTGCACACGACACCCCTGGCCTCTATCGGCGTTCCTCCATCCCTCATCCCCTGTATCCATCCAGTACTCCAGCTGTCTAGGCTGTGTCCCAAATGGTGCCCTGTGGGCCCTGTCAAAAGTAGTTCAGATGTACAGGACTACTTTACTGGATGTATTGACTCCAGATGTACAGGACTACTTTACTGGATGTATTGACTCCAGATGTACAGGACTACTTTACTGGATGTATTGACTCCAGATGTACAGGACTACTTTACTGGATGTATTGACTCCAGATGTACAGGACTACTTTACTGGATGTATTGACTCCAGATGTACAGGACTACTTTACTGGATGTATTGACTCCAGATGTACAGGACTACTTTACTGGATGTATTGACTCCAGATGTTCAGGACTACTTTACTGGATGTATTGACTCCAGATGTTCAGGACTACTTTACTGGATGTATTGACTCCAGATGTACAGGACTACTTTACTGGATGTATTGACTCCAGATGTACAGGACTACTTTACTATTTGTATTGACTCCAGATGTTCAGGACTACTTTACTGGATGTATTGACTCCAGATGTACAGGACTACTTTACTGGATGTATTGACTCCAGATGTTCAGGACTACTTTACTGGATGTATTGACTCCAGATGTACAGGACTACTTTACTGGATGTATTGACTCCAGATGTTCAGGACTACTTTACTGGATGTATTGACTCCAGATGTTCAGGACTACTTTACTGGATGTATTGACTCCAGATGTACAGGACTACTTTACTGGATGTATTGACTCCAGATGTTCAGGACTACTTTACTGGATGTATTGACTCCAGATGTTCAGGACTACTTTACTGGATGTATTGACTCCAGATGTACAGGACTACTTTACTGGATGTATTGACTCCAGATGTACAGGACTACTTTACTGGATGTATTGACTCCAGATGTTCAGGACTACTTTACTGGATGTATTGACTCCAGATGTACAGGACTACTTTACTGGATGTGTTGACTCCAGATGTACAGGACTACTTTACTGGATGTATTGACTCCAGATGTGCAGGACTACTTTACTGGATGTATTGACTCCAGATGTACAGGACTACTTTACTGGATGTATTGACTCCAGATGTACAGGACTACTTTACTGGATGTATTGACTCCAGATGTACAGGACTACTTTACTGGATGTATTGACTCCAGATGTTCAGGACTACTTTACTGGATGCATTGACTCCAGATGTACAGGACTACTTTACTGGATGTATTGACTCCAGATGTACAGGACTACTTTACTGGATGTATTGACTCCAGATGTTCAGGACTACTTTACTGGATGTATTGACTCCAGATGTACAGGACTACTTTACTGGATGTATTGACTCCAGATGTACATTACTACTTTACTGGATGTATTGACTCCAGATGTACAGGACTACTTTACTGGATGTATTGACTCCAGATGTACAGGACTACTTTATTGGATGTATTGACTCCAGATGTACAGGACTACTTTATTGGATGTATTGACTCCAGATGTTCAGGACTACTTTACTGGATGTATTGACTCCAGATGTACAGGACTACTTTACTGGATGTATTGACTCCAGATGTACAGGACTACTTTACTGGATGTATTGACTCCAGATGTTCAGGACTACTTTACTGGATGCATTGACTCCAGATGTACAGGACTACTTTACTGGATGTATTGACTCCAGATGTACAGGACTACTTTACTGGATGTATTGACTCCAGATGTTCAGGACTACTTTACTGGATGCATTGACTCCAGATGTACAGGACTACTTTACTGGATGTATTGACTCCAGATGTACAGGACTACTTTACTGGATGTATTGACTCCAGATGTACAGGACTACTTTACTGGATGTATTGACTCCAGATGTTCAGGACTACTTTACTGGATGTATTGACTCCATATGTACAGGACTACTTTACTGGATGTATTGACTCCAGATGTACAGGACTACTTTACTGGATGTATTGACTCCAGATGTTCAGGACTACTTTACTGGATGTATTGACTCCAGATGTACAGGACTACTTTACTGGATGTATTGACTCCAGATGTACAGGACTACTTTACTGGATGTATTGACTCCAGATGTACAGGACTACTTTACTGGATGTATTGACTCCAGATGTACAGGACTACTTTATTGAATGTATTGACTCTGTGTATCTCTCTGGCCCAGTCTCTGTGTATCTCTCTGACCCAGTCTCTGTGTATCTCTGTTAATCTCTCTGACCCAGTCTATGTGTATCTCTCTGGCCCAGTCTCTGTGTATTTCTGTGTTTCTCTCTGGCCCAGTCTCTGTGTATCTCTCTGACCCAGTCTCTGTGTATCTCTGTTAATCTCTCTGACCCAGTCTATGTGTATCTCTCTGGCCCAGTCTCTGTGTATTTCTGTGTTTCTCTCTGGCCCAGTCTCTGTGTATCTCTCTGACCCAGTCTCTGTGTATCTCTGTGTATCTCTCTGGCCCAGTCTCTGTGTATCTCTGTGTATCTCTCTGACACAGTCTCTGTGTATCTCTCTGACCCAGTCTCTGTGTATTTCTGTGTTTCTCTCTGACCTAGTCTCTGTGTATCTCTGTGTATCTCTCTGGCCCAGTCTCTGTGTATCTCTCTGACCCAGTCTCTGTGTATCTCTCTGACCCAGTCTCTGTGTATCTCTCTGACCCAGTCTCTGTGTATCTCTGTGTATCTCTCTGACCCAGTCTCTGTGTATCTCTCTGACCCAGTCTCTGTGTATCTCTCTGACCCAGTCTCTTTGTATCTCTCTGACCCAGTCTCTGTGTATTTCTGTGTTTCTCTCTGACCCAGTCTCTTTGTATTTATGTGTATCTCTCTGGCCCAGTCTCTGTGTATCTCTCTGACCCAGTCTCTGTGTATCTCTCTGACCCAGTCTCTGTGTATCTCTGTGTATCTCTTTGACCCAGTCTCTGTGTATCTCTCTGACCCAGTCTCTGTGTATTTCTGTGTTTCTCTCTGACCCAGTCTCTTTGTATTTATGTGTATCTCTCTGGCCCAGTCTCTGTGTATCTCTCTGACCCAGTCTCTGTGTATCTCTCTGACCCAGTCTCTGTGTATCTCTGTGTATCTCTTTGACCCAGTCTCTCTGTATCTCTCCCAGTCTGTGGTGGACGGCACAGAGAACTCTGTGGTTGTGCAGAATCTCAACTCCTTGACAGAGTACCAGTTAGCTGTGTTTGCTGTCTACACCAGCTCAGCTAGCGAGGCACTTCGTGGCAGCGAGACCACATGTGAGTCCACCTCCCTTCTCATTGTCAGCAAGACTATTTTCTACAGTTGTTATTTTTTCCTCAGCTCCTGTGCCAAGTTGGATGGGTGTAAACATACTCTTTCACCTAGGTTTAACCCACCTCTCTGTGTGTGTCTGTGTGTCTGTGTGTCTGTGTGTCTGTGTGTCTGTGTGTGTCTGTCTGTATGTCTGTGTGTCTGTGTGTCTGTGTCTGTGTGTCTGTGTGTCTGTGTGTGTCTGTGTCTGTGTGTCTGTGTGTGTCTGTGTGTGTCTGTGTCTGTGTGTCTGTGTGTGTCTGTCTGTGTGTCTGTGTGTCTGTGTGTCTGTGTCTGTGTGTCTGTGTGTCTGTGTGTGTCTGTGTCTGTGTGTGTCTGTGTCTGTGTGTCTGTGTGTGTCTGTGTGTCTGTGTGTCTGTGTGTCTGTGTGTGTCTGTGTCTGTGTGTGTCTGTGTCTGTGTGTCTGTGTGTGTCTGTGTCTGTGTGTCTGTGTGTGTTTGTGTGTGTTCGTTCCTGTGTCTCAGTGGCTCTCCCCATGGTGAACGGCCTGGAGCTGTACGATGTTACCCACAACACTATGCGGGCGCGGTGGAGCGGTGTGCAGGGCGTCTCGGGGTACACGGTCCTCTACGCCCCCCTGACCGAGGACGGGGCCTCCGACGAGAAAGAGGTACCCCAGCCAGAGGGCCGCGAGCCTGGGTGGGATTGGTCTGGGGGAGGGTCCTTCCTGGAGGGGCTGGTGGTGGTCCCCGTGTCTCTTTTCTTCTGGTGAAATCTAGCATGGATACTCCCTAGTTACTAAACCACAGGATCACCGGGGTGGTAGGCTTTGTGTCAGTGGATCTGGTGCTAAACTGAAAAGAAACTCCAGCAGCACACTGGTGATCAGAGGTTTATTGGATCTGGTGGTGTCATGGAGGCAGGAGAGACCTCAATAAGAGGACTTCCTCTGTCCCTGTCTCTGTCCCTGTCCCTGTCCCTGTCTCTAGAGAAAATGTTGCAGTTTTAAAGAAAGTTTGCTTCAATTCTACTCATTTTGCCATGGGGCGGAGAGAAGATTTTGCAGTTTTATAACTAATTTCATGCAATTCTACTCATTTTGCCATGGGGCAGAGAGAATATTTAGCAATTTTATAACTAATTTCATACAATTCTACTCATTTTGACATGGGGCGGAGAGAAGATTGAGCAATTTTATAACTAATTTCATACAATTCTACTCATTTTGCCATGGGGCGGAGTGTGATGAGTGTGATAGAAGGAGTCAGGCGCAGGAGGGTAATCACCGAATGCAGAGTTTATTCCGTCGTACACACATAGCGCTGGATAGCGACAAACGAAACAGGCACAGGGGACATATCTACCCTGGCAATACAAGGTAACGGTAGCTCAACAATAACAGGGGAAATATCTACCCTGGCAATACAAGGTACGAGTAGCTCCACCGAGCTACAATACTCTCACAAAGAAACAATCACCCACAAGGACAAGGGGGGCAGAGGGAACACTTATACACAGACTAATGAGGGGATATGAACCAGGTGTGTGTGATTGACAAGACAAGACAAATGGAATGATGAATAATGGAGCGGCAGTGGCTAGTAGGCCGGAGATGACGAACGCCGAAGCCTGCCCGAACAAGGAGGGGAGGCAGCCTCGGCGGGAAGTCGTGACACGGAGAGAAGATTTAGCAATTTTATAACTAATTTCATGCAATTCTACTCATTTCGCCATGGGGCTGAGAGGAAAATTAGCTATTTAACATTTTGCCATAGGTTGGAGAGAAATGGGAGAATTTTTTAATATGATATCTGAGTGAGACTGACTAACAAAATCAATGGGGGCCCCTGGTCGGTAGTTCGACCATGATCGCAAGTTTAGATAGCTGTCTGCTAAACTAACTTAGCAAATGTTTTGCTGACATGGGCTAATTGACTGACTATCAGTGACTGACATAACAAAAAAAAATATATATTATCAGAGGGCCTTCAAAAGGGGTGCCGCGGGCCGGAATATTCCAGAAGATGCCTCAGAAATAATACTGTACATTCTATAAAGCTTTTTTCAGACAGTGGAAAGAAGTTACATGTTTCATATTGAATTATTCTCCATACTAATCAGGCTTCCAGATGGTACTTCTTGGGTTGAGTCCCAATGGCACCCTATTCCCTATATAAATCCACTACATTTTGAAAATACAAATACTACAAAAGTAGTGCACTGTATAAGGAATAGGGTGTCATTTGGAACGCACACCACTGTGTCACCAGGACCTTCACTGGTGCCACGTTTTTCCCCATTAAACCAACAGATGAAGGTGTCAGACGCAGTAACTGACCTGGAGCTGGGGGCCTTGACTCCTGCTACAGAGTACACTGTGACAGTCTATGCCATGTATGGAGAAGAGGCTAGTGATCCTATGACTAACCAGGAGACCACCTGTGAGTGTCCTCTCAAACTTACTGTAACATATTCAACAATTCAGATAAAGGTTGAGATAGATACTGTATATCTTCCTGTCTTCAGAAGTTGTAACTATCTCTTGTAGCTGTATAGCACATTGTGACAACTGCTGATGGAAAAAGGGCTTTATAAATACATTTGATTGATTGATTGATCTCTGCAACATGACGTATTGAGTTAACCCCTTTGTGTCTGCAGTGCCACTGAGCCCTCCCAAGAACCTTGTGTTCTCTGAGGTGGACCACAACTCAGCCAAACTGTCGTGGGAAGCTGCCTCAAGGAAGGTGACAGGATACCGCATTATGTACGTCAAGACTGGCGGGCGACAGACTAATGAGGTGAGAGACAAGACTAGGGGATTTAACTTAGAACAAGACTTGGGGATTTAACCTAGAACAAGACTAGGGGATTTAACCTAGAACAAGACTAGGGGATTTAATCTAGAGTTATCCATATATTGCATCCGACTTCCTCCTTCTCTCTCTCTCTCTCTCTCTCTCTCTCTCTCTCTCTCTCTCTCTCTCTCTCTCTCTCTCTCTCTCTCTCTCTCTCTCTCTCTCTCTCTCTCTCTCTCTCTCTCTCTCTCTCTCTCTCTCTCTCTCTTCTCTCAATACTGTGTGTCTCTGTTTCCCCTTAGGTGGAGGTGGGTCCAGTCACGTCCTGGACTCTAAATGACCTGACGTCTGTAATGGAGTATGAGGTGGCCATCTTTGGGATCTACAACGAGGGCCAATCAGAAGCCATCTCTGGCATGTTCACCACCGGTAAGAACCAATCAGAGTCTATCAGAGTAGTGCCAGATGGCAGGGTTGGCACTTTAGGAGCTATTTTATTGGTACTAACCAGGTCAGAGTACTACTGTAGTATGAGTTCTTCCTATTGGTACTAACCAGGTCAGAGTACTACTGTAGTATGAGTTATTCATATTGGTACTAACCAGGTCAGAGTACTACTGTAGTATGAGTTCTTCCTATTGGTACTAACCAGGTCAGAGTACTACTGTAGTATGAGTTCTTCCTATTGGTACTAACCAGGTCAGAGTACTACTGTTGTATGAGTTCTTCCTATTGGTACTAACCAGGTCAGAGTAGTACTGTTGTATGAGTTCTTCCTATTGGTACTAACCAGGTCAGAGTACTACTGTAGTATGAGTTCTTCCTATTGGTACTAACCAGGTCAGAGTAGTACTGTAGTATGAGTTCTTCCTATTGGTACTAACCAGGTCAGAGTACTACTGTTGTATGAGTTCTTCCTATTGGTACTAACCAGGTCAGAGTACTACTGTTGTATGAGTTCTTCCTATTAGTACTAACCAGGTCAGAGTACTACTGTAGTATGAGTTCTTCCTATTGGTACTAACCAGGTCAGAGTACTACTGTAGTATGAGTTCTTCCTATTGGTACTAACCAGGTCAGAGTAGTACTGTACTATGAGTTCTTCCTATTGGTACTAACCAGGTCAGAGTACTACTGTAGTATGAGTTCTTCCTATTGGTACTAACCAGGTCAGAGTACTACTGTAGTATGAGTTCTTCCTATTGGTACTAACCAGGTCAGAGTACTACTGTTGTATGAGTTCTTCCTATTGGTACTAACCAGGTCAGAGTAGTACTGTTGTATGAGTTCTTCCTATTGGTACTAACCAGGTCAGAGTACTACTGTAGTATGAGTTATTCCTATTGGTACTAACCAGGTCAGAGTACTACTGTTGTATGAGTTCTTCCTATTGGTACTAACCAGGTCAGAGTAGTACTGTAGTATGAGTTCTTCCTATTGGTACTAACCAGGTCAGAGTACTACTGTTGTATGAGTTCTTCCTATTGGTACTAACCAGGTCAGAGTAGTACTGTTGTATGAGTTCTTCCTATTGGTACTAACCAGGTCAGAGTACTACTGTAGTATGAGTTATTCCTATTGGTACTAACCAGGTCAGAGTACTACTGTAGTATGAGTTATTCCTATTGGTACTAACCAGGTCAGAGTACTACTGTAGTATGAGTTCTTCCTATTGGTACTAACCAGGTCAGAGTACTACTGTTGTATGAGTTCTTCCTATTGGTACTAACCAGGTCAGAGTACTACTGTTGTATGAGTTCTTCCTATTGGTACTAACCAGGTCAGAGTACTACTGTAGTATGAGTTCTTCCTATTGGTACTAACCAGGTCAGAGTACTACTGTTTTATGAGTTCTTCCTATTGGTACTAACCAGGTCAGAGTACTACTGTTGTATGAGTTCTTCCTATTGGTACTAACCAGGTCAGAGTACTACTGTTGTATGAGTTCTTCCTATTGGTACTAACCAGGTCAGAGTACTACTGTTGTATGAGTTCTTCCTATTGGTACTAACCAGGTCAGAGTACTACTGTAGTATGAGTTCTTCCTATTGGTACTAACCAGGTCAGAGTACTACTGTTGTATGAGTTCTTCCTATTGGTACTAACCAGGTCAGAGTAGTACTGTTGTATGAGTTCTTCCTATTGGTACTAACCAGGTCAGAGTACTACTGTAGTATGAGTTATTCCTATTGGTACTAACCAGGTCAGAGTACTACTGTAGTATGAGTTATTCCTATTGGTACTAACCAGGTCAGAGTACTACTGTAGTATGAGTTCTTCCTATTGGTACTAACCAGGTCAGAGTACTACTGTTGTATGAGTTCTTCCTATTGGTACTAACCAGGTCAGAGTACTACTGTTGTATGAGTTCTTCCTATTGGTACTAACCAGGTCAGAGTACTACTGTAGTATGAGTTCTTCCTATTGGTACTAACCAGGTCAGAGTACTACTGTTGTATGAGTTCTTCCTATTGGTACTAACCAGGTCAGAGTACTACTGTTGTATGAGTTCTTCCTATTGGTACTAACCAGGTCAGAGTACTACTGTTGTATGAGTTCTTCCTATTGGTACTAACCAGGTCAGAGTACTACTGTTGTATGAGTTCTTCCTATTGGTACTAACCAGGTCAGAGTACTACTGTAGTATGAGTTCTTCCTATTGGTACTAACCAGGTCAGAGTACTACTGTTGTATGAGTTCTTCCTATTGGTACTAACCAGGTCAGAGTACTACTGTAGTATGAGTTATTCATATTGGTACTAACCAGGTCAGAGTACTACTGTAGTATGAGTTCTTCGTATTGGTACTAACCAGGTCAGAGTACTACTGTAGTATGAGTTCTTCCTATTGGTACTAACCAGGTCAGAGTACTACTGTTGTATGAGTTCTTCCTATTGGTACTAACCAGGTCAGAGTACTACTGTTGTATGAGTTCTTCCAGTCAGAAGTGATGTGTGTTTTACCTCATCTTCTATCTGATCTGATGATGCTGTTTGATCTCTCTAATAGACCCTGTGCCAGGCCCCGTTGACCTCCAGGCCAGTGAGGTCACCACAGAGAGCTTCCGGGTCAGCTGGGGTCACTCTGTTCCGGGCATCGTCCTCTACAAACTGACCTGGGCTTCTTATGATGGAGAGGACACTAAGGAGGTCAGTACTGGGACAACCCACTAAGGAGGTCAGTACTGGGACAACCCACTAAGGAGGTCAGTACTGGGACAACCCACTAAGGAGGTCAGTACTGGGACAACCCACTAAGGAGGTCAGCACTGGGACAACCCACTAAGGAGGTCAGTACTGGGACAACCCACTAAGGAGGTCAGTACTGGGACAACCCACTAAGGAGGTCAGTACTGGGACAACCCACTAAGGAGGTCAGTACTGGGACAACCCACTAAGGAGGTCAGTACTGGGACAACCCACTAAGGAGGACAGTACTGGGACAACCCACTAAGGAGGTCAGTACTGGGACAACCCACTAAGGAGGTCAGTACTGGGACAACCCACTAAGGAGGTCAGTACTGGGACAACCCACTAAGGAGGTCAGTACTGGGACAACCCACTAAGGAGGTCAGTACTGGGACAACCCACTAAGGAGGTCAGTACTGGGACAACCCAAAAGGGAAATCAGACCTGGATCAATACATTTGTCAAATGCTTCCTAAGACTCTTCCTGCTGTTGATTTAGTTTGCCAGGTAAAATAGAATCAATGGAATAGTCCCAAAAGTGCAAACTCCAATACCCATATGCCAAGTTAGATACTTGACTTGATTGGGTGCCTGATTGACTGGGTTTTTAGAGGCTGATATAACTGTGATCATGCCTCAGATCCAAAGTGTTGATCATCTGTCCTTAACAAGACAACATCAGGTGCAGAATGACACCACGCTCCAGTCTCTAGCCAGCTGATCTGTTTGTGCTGTTTTGCCAACTCCTATGACAGCAGCCATTGGAGTTGGCTATAAAGCACAAACCGTTATGGGCCCAGGCTAGTGAAATATGCTCTCTGAACTGACTCACCACCCTCATGCATCACCTGGGCCTGGCCTTTTCCTGGGTCCTGACTGACTGCTGGAGCTAGCTGGTCTTTCCAGATAGCACAGCAGGACTGCAGGTCGGTGTGTTTTCCTGGGAGTCACCGCTGCAGAAAATAACATGTGTCCCAAATGGCACCCTATTCCCTGTAAAGTGCACTACTTTGGATCTGAGCCCTATGGGCCCTGGTCAAAAGTAGTGCACTAAATGGAGAATAGGGTGCCATTTGGACCGCATGCTGTGACTGTAGAGCTGTGAGTCTGTGACTCTGAGGTAGGGTGGTGGAATGTTACACCACTGAGACCCAAAACGCTCCGTCGATCTGGAGAGGAGAGATTTTCCCACAAAACCCAACAACCCAGACTAGTTGAGTTAATCCATGAGAGAGCAGTGTATGATAATTATATTGATCATAGATCAGCATGTCTATTTTATCCTTTCTGTTTTCTATTCTCTCTTATTATGTCATATCTCTGCAGTCGCGAGAGGAGCGTGTGCTGAGGAGCGGAGAGGTAGCTGGGGGGGGGGGGGGGCGGCGGGGAGAGGCGTGAGGGCGGTGGGCGGGCCGGGGGGCGGGCGGGGGGGCGGGGCGGGCGAGGTGGCGGGCGGGGTGGGGGTGAGGGGTGGGGTCTCTTTCTCGTTTGTCTCTTCTCGTCCAAGCGGCTGCGCTAGCTCGCCTGAGGCGCGCGCGCGCGCCTGCGCGCCGTCGGCGCGCCGAGAAGATGCGCGCCGACACTGAAGCATCGCTCGTCGATAGGCCGGCACAAACGCCGTGGCAACCGAATCACAAGCGCTCGCGCTGGTCACTACCTCCCGAGGATAGGGGCGCGGAGCGCTCGCACGAGCGCGAGCGCACAAGCTGCGGCGAGCGGCGGCGCGTCGGCGAAGGGAGAGCGCGCGAGACTCGCGCTAGTCTATGTCGAGCGGAGCCGCGTAGCGCGCCGGCGCGCGCTGCGAGCGCTCAGCGCGAGGCGCCGCGCGCACGAAAAGCGCGAGCGCGGCGAGCGCGCGCGCGCGCGGGAGACTGCACGAACTCTATCTTGAAAGTAACGCTCCTCTGCGACCGCGCTCTCATAGCGCGCCGTCTTGTCTCTCTCTCTGTCGCTCTCGCTCTCTCTCTCTCTCTCTCGTCTCGGTCTTGTCTCTCGCGCACTAACTCTCTCTCTCTCTCTCTCTCTCGCTGTCTCTCGTATCTCTGTCTCTCTCTATCTCTCTCTCTACTCTCCACGAACTCTCTCTCTCTCTCTCTCTCTCTTCTCTCTCTCTCTCTCTCTCTCTCTCTCTCTCGCTCTCTCTTTCTCTCTGTATTCTAGATGGTTCTAAGTGGTGATGTGGACTCCTTCCTCCTCAGTGGACTGAGCCCTAACACGGAGTATGAGGTGATGCTCCAAGCCATCTTCAAAGACCAATCAGAGAGTGATGCAGTGTTAGTGGTGGAGACAACACGTAAGAGAACAATACAACTCAACTCATTCTCCATGCAGCATACAGCAGAACCATTCTCCATGCAGCATACAGCAGAACCATTCTCCATGCAGCATACAGCAGAACCATTCTCCATGCAGCATACAGCAGAACCATTCTCCATGCTGCATACAGCAGAACCATTCTCTCATGTTTAGTTTCTGCAGTTTAAACCTTGACTTTAAAAATCAGAACTTATCTTATCTGCAAAGGGCCAGGCTTTCACTCCAGCCAAATCAGTAAGACACCAGATTCAAGTATTGAACTAATCACTTTGTCCAATAAATACTTAATTAGTTGAATCAGATGTGGCACTGCTTTGACTAGAGCTGCAGCCTGCACCCACACTGGGTATGCAACGTTGACAAATCTAAACTGTAATAGTTCATTCAGTTCCAGTATTGTCTTTCTCTCTGTTTGTCTAACTACCTGTGTCATTGTTGTTTCCAGTTGCCAGGACAACAACGGTTGCCACTACAACGCCAGGTAATGAATGCATGTTGTGACTGGTGTTTAAATTATTCTTATTGGTCGAATGGAAAAGGCACTTTTTCATGTTGTCACCGAGCGTTCTGCTCCCACAAGTCTCTCTGACTCAATTATAGTCCTGGTACCATCGTCTCTCAGGTCCATATGGGACCAAACTGGAGTTTCCAAATTCAATCAACAAAGTGTTTGTTTTAGATTTACTACTTTTAAACTAGTGTTGTATTTCTCAGGCAAAAAGGTCTGGAGTCATTTAGTCTCTTGTACCTGGGTTATATCTGCTAGCTAGGGCTCAGAGTTATTCCTGGTGGATATTTAGTCTCTTGTACCTGGGTTATATCTTCTAGCTAGGGCTCAGAGTTATTCCTGGTGGATATTTAGTCTCTTGTACGTGGGTTATATCTGCTAGCTAGGGCTCAGAGTTATTCCTGGTGGATATTTAGTCTCTTGTACCTGGGTTATATCTGCTAGCTAGGGCTCAGAGTTATTCCTGGTGGATATTTAGTCTCTTGTACCTGGGTTATATCTTCTAGCTAGGGGTATTCCTGGTCTCTTAGTTCTTAACCTGGGTTATATCTTGGTAGCTAGGGCTCTAGAGGTTATCCGGTGGATATTAGTCTCTTGTACCTGGGTTATATATTCTAGCTAGGGCTCAGAGTTATTCCTGGTGGATATTTAGTCTCTTGTACCTGGGTTATATCTTCTAGCTAGGGCTCAGAGTTATTCCTGGTCAGGTCATGTGGTCAGGAAAACATCCTGGCCCTAAGAGTGTTGCCTCTTTGGCAGGGGTTGCTTTGGTTTGGTTTTAGAATGACTTCTTACTTGAGCACGCTGGTATAAAATGACAGACTAATCCTGGTTCACAAAGATGTGTTTGTTGACTGCTATGTGTTGTTAAAGTGCATGATGCTGAATATCATGATTTTGATTGCATATGTTGATGATGAGTCATTTCATGTTGTGTTAACTCAACTCTGTATATCTGGTCTCTTGTCCTAGCTGTTATCAACTAACTGACCTGGTCAAACGGATTAAATAAGTCTATACATGAATATCTCTGTGCTATCTGTCCCCCTCCAGTGGCGCGTCAGGCGGTGAGAGGCCTACAGGTCCAGGATGAGACCACCTACAGTCTGGAGGTGTCATGGCAACTGGAGGACCCTAAGGTGGACCAGTACAGAGTCACCTACGTCAGCCTCACGGGAGACCGCAACGAGGAGTCAGTGAGTTTGGAGCCCGTTTAGAGGCAGAGACTTGCAGTGATCATGATCTGTGGTGTACTGATTGTAAGTCACTCTGGAGACCTCCTTATTCTCACTAGTCTCACGCCGTCCTGCACCTTAGCAGCCGTGTTGTTGGTAGTCTCACACCGTCCTGCACCTTAGCAGCCGTGTTGTTGGTAGTCTCACACCGTCCTGCACCTTAGCAGCCGTGTTGTTGGTTGTCTCACACCGTCCTGCACCTTAGCAGCCGTGTTGTTGGTAGTTCCACACCGTCCTGCACCTTAGCAGCCGTGTTGTTGGTAGTCTCACACGTCCTGCAACTTAGCAGCCGTGTTGTTGGTAGTCTCACACCGTCCTGCACCTTAGCAGCCGTTGTTGTTGGTAGTCTCACACGTCCTGCACCTTAGCAGCCGTGTTGTTGGTTGTCTCACACCGTCCTGCACCTTAGCAGCCGTGTTGTTGGTAGTCTCACACCGTCCTGCACCTTAGCAGCCGTGTTGTTGGTAGTCTCACACCGTCCTGCACCTTAGCAGCCGTGTTGTTGGTAGTCTCACACCGTCCTGCACCTTAGCAGCCGTGTTGTTGGTTGTCTCACACCGTCCTGCACCTTAGCAGCTGTGTTGTTGGTAGTCTCACACCGTCCTGCACCTTAGCAGCCGTGTTGTTGGTAGTCTCACGCCGTCCTGCACCTTAGCAGCCGTGTTGTTGGTAGTCTCACACCGTCCTGCACCTTAGCAGCCGTGTTGTTGGTAGTCTCACACCGTCCTGCACCTTAGCAGCCGTGTTGTTGGTAGTCTCACACCGTCCTGCACCTTAGCAGCCGTGTTGTTGGTAGTCTCACGCCGTCCTGCACCTTAGCAGCCGTGTTGTTGGTAGTCTCACACCGTCCTGCACCTTAGCAGCCGTGTTGTTGGTAGTCTCACACCGTCCTGCACCTTAGCAGCCGTGTTGTTGGTAGTCTCACACCGTCCTGCACCTTAGCAGCCGTGTTGTTGGTAGTCTCACACCGTCCTGCACCTTAGCAGCCGTGTTGTTGGTTGTGCGCTTGGTTGTCAGTAAGTATAGAGAGAACTCACAGGAGTTACCAGGAGTCTTAATGTCCGGATGGTTTCCCACCCCTTTGGGAATATGGCCAAAGACAACAAAAGGGTTCTACCTACGGGGACAGTTGAAGAACCCTTTAAGGTTCTAGATAGCACCTTGTTTTCTAAGAGTGTACTGCCATACTTGCCATAAAGACACCTCCAATTTTGTCACGATCGTTACAGGAAGCGGACCAAGGCGCAGCGTGATAAGCGTACATACTTTATTTGTACTGAACACGACACAAAAACAATAAACAACGATGCGTGACGTCCTGAAGTTATACACAACACAAACCTTAACGGAACAAAATCCCACAAACCCGAATGAAAAACAGACAGTATAAATATGGCTCCCAATCAGAGACAACCAACGAACAGCTGACACTCGTTGCCTCTGATTGGGAGTCACTCTGGCCAACATAGAAATAAACACCCATAGATCTACACACCCTGGCTCAACATAACAGTGTCCCCAGAGCCAGGGCGTGACAAATTTGAAATCTGGTGGACACACTTGTGGAAGTCATTGTTGTCCTTTCAGTTGTCCTATTGATCATAAGGGCCTGTGTTGCTGAGCAATAACAGATACGTTTGGAATGTCAAGCCTTGGTTTCGACTGTACTTCAGACAAAGCATTGACACACGACTTAACCCTTCTCTATTACGTATATGCCCTTCACAAAAACCTTCTTTGTAGACAATGGATAGAATGGATTGACAGTGAGTAGGTGGTAGACGGATAAAAACTTGTCAAGTTGATGGAGTGGTACATAGGGAAGCATATGTGTGGAGACAGTGGAGAACAGGGTGGCAGATAGTCTAGCGGTTAAGAGCGTTGGGCCAATAACCTTAAGGTCACTGGTTCAGAGCCAACAAGGTGACAAATCTGCTGATGTGCCCTTGAACGAGGCACGTAACCCTAGTCGCTCTGGATAAGAGCGTCTGCTAAATGAGTAAAATGTAGGTAGCTTCGCCAAAGTCTGCTTCACCTGGTATGTAAGATAGCCTATCATCTGACGGGAGTTATTTTTTTGATCTCCCAGCTCAAATTCAATAGAATCACACCAATTTATACTCCAGCATGTTCAATAGAATCACACCAATTTATTATCCAGTGTGTTCAATATAATCACACCATTCTATTCTCCAGTGTGTTCAATAGAATTACACCATTCTATTCTCCAGCATGTTCAATAGAATCACACCATTTTATTCTCCACTGTGTTCAATATAATCACACCATTCTATTCTCCAGCATGTTCAATAGAATCACACCATTCTATTCTCCAGTGTGTTCAATAGAATCACACCAATTTATTCTCCAGTGTGTTCAATAGAATCACACCATTCTATTCTCCAGTGTGTTCAATAGAATCACACCAATTTATTCTCCAGCATGTTCAATAGAATCACACCATTTTATTCTCCAGTGTGTTCAATAGAATCACACCATTTTATTCTCCAGTGTGTTCAATAGAATC